GTACGCGGGGCGTACCCGGCCTCGGACGCGGGGCGTAATTGCGAGGCTACGTGGCGTGATTCGAAGCGAAGCCTTGGGCAACAAGCAACGGCTCAGATGCGGCCACGTCATCACCCTTCTCGCAGATTTCGCAAATTGCACATTCGACCTTAAAAATTCGTAACTTTCACATACGAGCTTCGTTTTTGACGTTCTTTATATCCACGCGTAGGCGGGAACGTACTCTACAACTTTCGTTTAGACTACGTTGGCTAATTTTGAGTTTATTTTAAAAGTTATATTTTTAACAGGCCGGGACAGGATTGGTCTGTTAAAAATTCATAACTTCTTCATCCGACGTCCGTTTTTGTCTGTCTTTTTATCGATACGCTAATATTAACGAGATCTTCGATTCTCGTTTAGGTTGTGCCGGCTAAAAACCGCTCGATCTAATATTCGAACTTCGGGATGTATACTGCTACGCCGAAACTTCGAAAAATCATACCTTCCTCATACGAAGTCAGATTTGGGCGTTCTTTTTATGGATGCTCTCGGTTTAACGTTTTCTACGACTTTCGTTTAGATTGCTAAGGCTAAAAGTCGCTCTATCTTAAATTCACTTTTTACGTCTCCCGGTGCAGTGTCGGTTTTGCCGAAAAAGTTCGGCGGGTCATAACTTCTTCGTTATAACTCGGATTTCGGCGTTCTTTATATGTACGGAAACCTTGAGACATATTCTACAACTTGGTTAAGATTATTTATTCTAAATAATATTTTTGTCGAAAAGTCGTTTTCGACCCATATCATCCCTAAACTGTCTAGCTCGGATCTACGGGCGTTACAATTATCTCCCCCTTAGGATGATTACGTCCCGGAATCATCAACGAAACAGGGCTCACATGATGACTCCATACGTTATCTCTTCATCCTATGTAATAACCGTAACTTTGATGTTTGCTTCGAACGAGTATCTAACTCTAAGACTTCCTGACTGCAGGCGGTGCCCGATCTTGGACCCGCTCTCTATCTCATGTTAGACTTCCAATCATGATCTTCATGTCACGATCTCAATCTTTATTGGAGACTCCTTCTTTAACAAACTTGAGATACGTTTCTTCCTTCGATTATCATAATAGACTGATGAGTCGTGTTCTAAGGACCTCTCATCATATGATGCATTACTTGGACTCGTGTCTTTTAGAGTCAAGTTTCAGAACAGACTATACCTTCCTTTACGTTCTAATCATATCTTAAATGGTAGCATTTCTAGCTACCAGCTTCTTTAACTAGCGCGATACTTCTATTGATCGCTTCGATTATCTTTCACTTCAATCTTCTGGCTTAAGTCAGATGCTACATCGAACTTGGTTCTCTGAACCACGTAACATACTCATCTTAGTCGGACTCGATTTGATATGACCACTAGGGTCGAAATAAAAATCATCTTCTTAGTCATTACCGAAAAAATGGTAACGACATACTTGAATAAAACGAAATCAATTACTAGCTTCTTGGTAACCTTGTGACTTTCCCTGATCCAAGTGTGAGTCCTGTGCTTCCGGTAGTATATGCATCTACTACCGTTCACACCTACTCATACTTGTCCGAAGTATTGTCTGGCAGCTTTCCAAGTTTCTATCACAAAAAAAAATTAACACATAAAAATGTGTCCAATCAATCATAAAATTTTCCCTAGACTCTACTAGGACTTCTTCCATGCGTATCTTCAATCATTAATTCTAATTCAACTCGGTTGGTGATGGAAATGTCAGACGATGGGATAACTTCATGGATTATACCAAAAATCTTTCTTTCTGCAAATCAAAAGTTTACTTCTCCCGTACTAGACGTATTATTTATTAGATGCATTCTAAAGGAAAGATATCACTCTTATGATATCTTCTAATAAGTACCATTCAGTATCGTAAGCCTTCTCATTTCCTCCATTTACTCAATTCACTACAAGTCTTCACCATGATGTTCTGTACACCAAAGCAATCGTTTGGTGTATTGAGACGAGAATAAAGATAGAGGAAGGTTTAGACGCGTATTCATCCTTATTACCTCCAAAAATTATATGTCAGTTCTAATATCGTAATTAAACGTTTAGAAATCTGAACACATAAAATTTCCAGATCCGGTCGGCAACAGACCATAGATCCGATCAAACGATAGCATAAAGCATCACAAATTATTAAGCACATAAAAGCATCTTAGGCATCTTCCCTAATTAAGCTAGTGCTTATGTCTATTCAGGCGTACTTCCTAAAATATATTAGACACACTTCTCACGATCATCGCTTAGTATTCTAAGTTTAAGTCTAGAAATAAATCATTATTCCTAGTTCGCTTAAACTAATGCTCTGATACCCACTGTGACATCCCCATTTTCACGGCCAGAAAAGACCGATTTTGTTTATGCTTTATAAAAATCAGAGTACTTCTTTTAATAAAAATCTTGCAGAATTTGTTCCCAGAAAAACATGATAAATACGTTATCAAAGCATTTCCGAAGAAATGTATTTTTATTCATTTTAAAACATTTGGGATGTCATCGTTAATACATAAACATAAGCATAAACAGAACTTACATTCATTTACACTAGTGATCTACATCTCTTTTAAATCTCTCAGTGTAATGTAACCTCATATCAACACCTGTGATACAAATAAACTGAGTGGGTCAGGTTGGGAAACCTGGTGAGTACATAGGGTTTTCAACCCACAATAATATAATTATTATGTTTAAACATCAAACAATCAACCCAATTACTCATCCCCATTATCTTCTTTACTCTTAAGGATCTACCCTAAGAATCAATTATTCCTTGTTCATTCATTCCTAAGGATCATCGTAAGGAATCGGCACGAAGTCCATCGTTGTCAATGACACAGCTGTTAAGCATAGCTGCTAGTTCTATCACTTAGGCGCAGCTGCCAGAATTGTGACATTCTATGTGAGGCGCAGCTGCCAGTATTGTCCTTCGAGCACAGCTGCTAGGGTTATCTCGTTTATTGACAATATCGTTTTCGAGAGTCCACTCGCAATACATGTCAATGGGTTTTTTAGAGTACACCGGTGAACACATCGTTCACAACACCTACAGGTTGCGAGCCTGCCAGTGTTCCACTGGACTGTCTAGAATAGTCTGTGGTTATCATCCATACTCTGCTAGATGACGGGGCCATCATTTGGGAAAGGCTTCTCACATCGTCCACCTCTCACACTCACCTCGTGGTCTATAGCACCTCTCAACTCATCATCCAACTCATATTCCATCTATTACATCTACCCATGTTTTACCCAACATATTCTCGTAGATATATATATATATATATATATATTATATATATATATATATATATATATATATATATATATATATATATACAGTTTAAATCATTTAAAACATGTATAAAATCGTTCATCCAGCATAGATAGCAAGTATACAGATAATATGCACACATAGCACGTAATTTATATAAAATACTTCATATCTATGTGTAAGATGAAAGTAACTATGCACTCACCTGATTAGGTGGTGACTCGGCACTTGAACAGCACTTCGTTATCTCAAAACAATTTTTCCTCGACCAAAACCTAGTATTAATACCACTAGTGTTTAGTCTAACGTTAACCGCGACTAATTAATAGTCTAGATATTATTATTATTATTATTATATAAGCGTTAAAAAACACTCAATATAACTCATAATAATAGCCCAGATAATTATTTTAAGGACCTAATAACATTACTATAATTATTTAAAAGTTATATTAAATTTGCTTAGGCGTAGCTCACTTACAGCGAATTTTAAAGAAAACCGGGCTTTGCTCGGAGCAGCGTTTCCGAACCGAAAGACCCTTTTTCTCGGGACTCCGGGAGCCTCGAGGTTTCCTTTAGGTGCTAGGGGTTTTTCCTAGGGTTTTGGGGTGGTTTGGGATCTTAGAGAGAGAAAGAAACTAGAGAGAGAAGTGATATTTGTGTGAAAAATCCGGAAACCCTCGCCCCCTTTTATAGCCTGTGAGGCCTCGAATTACGCTGGGCGTAACCTTGGCTACGCTTGGCGTAGTGCTCGGATGAGGGTGCCAGCTTCGCACCAGCTGGCTCGCACATCAGATGGATAAGAATCGAAGTACGCGGGGCGTACCCGGCCTCGGACGCGGGGCGTAATTGCGAGGCTACGTGGCGTGATTCGAAGCGAAGCCTTGGGCAACAAGCAACGGCTCAGATGCGGCCACGTTATCACCCTTCTCGCAGATTTCGCAAATTGCACATTCGACTTTAAAAATTCGTAACTTTCACATACGAGCTTCGTTTTCGACGTTCTTTATATCCACGCGTAGGCGGGAACATACTCTACAACTTTTTTTAGACTCGGTCGGCTAATTTTGAGTTTATTTTAAAAGTTATATTTTTAACAGGCCGGGACAGGATTGGTCCGTTAAAAATTCATAACTTCTTCATCCGACGTCCGTTTTCGTTTGTCTTTTTATCGATACGCTACTATTAACGAGATCCTCGATTCTCGTTTAGGTTGTGCCGGCTAAAAACCGCTCGATCTAATATTCGAACTTCGGGTTGTACAATACTAAGCCGAAACTTCGAAAAATCATACCTTCCTCATACGAAGTCAGATTTGGGCGTTCTTTTTATGGACGCTCTCGGTTTAACGTTTTCTACGACTTTCGTTCAGATTTCTAAGGCTAAAAGTCGCTCTATCTTAAATTCACTTTTTACGTCTTCCGGTGCCGTGCCGGTTTTGCCGAAAAACTTCGGCGGGTCATAACTTCTTCGTTATAACTCGGATTTCGGCGTTATTTATATGTACGGAAACCTTGAGACATATTCTACAACTTGGTTAAGATTATTTATTCTAAATAATATTTTTGTCGAAAATTCGTTTTCGACCCCTATCATCCCTAAACTGACTAGCATGGATCTACGGACGTTACATTAATTATGACGGGTTTTTACTTGGTTAACTTTTTTTTGTAGACAAAGTTTGATTTGGATCAGATGTACCGGGATCCAGAAGCTCATCTGTTGACAGAGAGTTTTCAAGAAGCTTTGTTAAAAGGTTATCGAGAGCGTAAAGCTGATGCAAAAGAATATTTTATGCGAGTCGGAGGGTATCAGGATATCCCGAGAGCAATAGCCAACCCTCCAGATGCTATCGATGTTGATAATTGGAAGAAAACAATCGAGTATGTCCAAATGGACGAACACAAAATTGCTTCAGCAAGGAACAAAAAAGTCTGAGAAATGCAAACGACCGTGAATCGTGGGGGGTCGAGCTCGTATAGCAGTACTTGCTATAAGAAGGTAACATACGATACATGTAATTATTTATTTAAAATATAATCTAACTTTTAATGTTAAATAGAAACTTAAGAGAGTGGAAACGTTTCGCAAGGCTCATACCGATAGGGATGGTCTATTTGTTACTGTCGAGGCGGAACAACAATACGTAAGTATTTAATTATAGTTTTATCATATAATTAAGTGTTTATTATACTTAATTGTTAATCACTTTTGGGAAATACATAATTGGTTAGTGGAAGAGCTCTTAGAACAAACGCAAGGGCCAGAAGGTGAAAGAGAGTTAACACCCGCTCAAGAAAGAGCTGCTTTCGAGAAAGTATTAGGAGAACGACATGGCCATATCAGAGGCATCGGCCGAAAACCTTCTGCTATCCTGCCGATTTCACAACCATCGCAACCTCCACCACAACCATCATAGCCATCATAGGTAAAGCATGATTATTTAATATCAATAAATGCATGTTGATTTGGTAATTTTTGTTTGTGGTGATTATTTTCTAAAAGCTTTGGTAATTGGTATCAATAAATGCATGTTGATATGCTAATTGTGCTTTTGTCCCAAGTGCAAGAAATAATAATGTACATTGGTTTTTTGTCTCTAATTTAAAAATAGAAATGTACTTTGGCATCTTAAAATGCATGTTGATTTGGTAATTTTGGTTTGTGGTGATTATTTGCTAAAAGCTTTGTTAATTGTACTTTTGTCCCAAATGCAAGAAATAACAATGTACTTTGGTTTTTTGTCTCTAGTTTAAAAATAGCAATGTACTTCGGCATCATAAAATGCATGTTGATTTGGTAATTTTGGTTTGTGGTGATTGTTTACTAAAAGCTTTGTTAATTGGGTTTTTGTCTCAAGTGCAAGAAATAGCAATGTAGTTTGGTTTTTTGTCTCTAGTTTAAAAATAGCAATGTACTCTGGCATCATAAAATACATGTTGATTAGGTAATTTTGGTTTGTGGTGATTATTTGCTAAAAGTTTTGTTAATTGTGCTTTTGTCCCAAGTGCAAGAAATAACAATGTACTTTGGTTTTTGTCTCTGGTTTAAAAATAGCAATGTACTTCAGCACCATAAAATGCATGTTGATTTGATAATTTTGGTTTGTGGTGATTATTTGCTAAAAACTTTGTTAATTGGGTTTTTTTCCCAAGTGCAAGAAATAGAAATGTACTTTGGTTTTATGTCTCTAGTTTAAAAATAGCAATGTACTTTGGCATCATAAAATGCATGTTGATTTGGTAATTGTGTTTTTGTCCCAATTGCAAGAAATGGCAATGTACTTTTGGTATATCTTGTATTTAAGTGCAAGACATAGGAATGTACTTTGGTAGTTTTTGTTTATGTTTGATTATTTAACTTATATTTTTATATAGGGATATATACACTAAAGTCCCAATATTTTCATCGATTTGACAAGAAAGTCCTAAACTTTATTTTTTTTACAGTAAAGTCCAAATTACCGGCAATTTTTGACACTTTTACCCTTTTTTCCCGGTTAGCCGGTAATTAGGATTTTTTTGTCAAAAAAATAAAGTTTAGGACTTTCTTGTCAAATCGTCAATTAGGACTTTTACTGTCAAAAAATAAGTTTAGGACTTTCTTGTCAAATCGTTGAAAATATTGGGACTTTAGTGTATATATCATTTTTTTGTTAGAAATTTAATGGTATGATACTCTTTAAGCATAAGAGTTATTGAAACATTCTCTCGTCAGCTAGATCCTATTGAAATCCTTAACATTTGCTTCTTGTTAAATCGTTCTTTTAATCTCAATAAACCGACATTGAAAAAAATGAAGATAATCAAGAAAGAAAGAAAGAACCAGGGTTGTGTTGGCTTTTTGCAGTCCAAAAAATGGAGAAATAAGAAACCGAAAAAAAAAGAAATTGCCCTTCTTTCCCTTCTCAACATTCACACCCTTTTGACTAGGCATGTGTTGTTTGTGTTTGTATAATCTATTCCCACTTTTAATTCAAGATTTGGTGGCGAAGCAAGAAGAAACTTTTACAATGGTGAAAAGACATGTAAAACTTTCTTGTTACTTCGCCGCCAAATCTTGAACTAAAAAGTGGGGACAGATTATACAAACACAAACAACACATACCTAGTCAAAAGGGTGTGAATGTGGATAAGGGAAAGAAGGGCAATTTCGTTTTTTTCGGTTTCTTATTTCTCCATTTTTGGTACTGCAAAAAGCCAACACAACTCTGGTTCTTTCTTTCTTGATTATCTCCATTTTTTTCAATGTCGGTTTGTTGAGATTAAAAAAACAATTTAACAACAAGCAAACGTTAAAGATTTCAATAGGATCTAGCTGACTAGAGAATGTTTCAATAACTCTTATGCTTAAAGAGTATCATACCATTAAATTTCTAACAAAAAAATGATATATACACTAAAGTCCCAATATTTTCAACGATTTGACAAAAAAGTCCTAAACTTTATTTTTTTGACAGTAAAGTCCTAATTGATGATTTGATAAGAAAGTCCTAAACTTTATTTTTTTGACAAAAAAGTCCTAATTACCGGCTAACCGGGAAAAAAGGGTAAAAGTGTCAAAAATTGCCGGTAATTTGGACTTTACTGTCAAAAAAATAAAGTTTAGGACTTTCTTGTCAAATCGATGAAAATATTGGGACTTTAGTGTATATATCCCAAATATGTTTTTACTTATTATGTAGTTGGAAAATCTTCGGGCAATGCTCAACGACCCAACATGTAAGGAAGTGCTTTATTCATTTTTTCAATCACAGAATAATCGAGGAAACGATGGGAACGGAGATGATGGTATGTAGGGATGATCTTTATTTGTATGATACACTTGTTGTCACGCTTTACTACTTATTAGAATTGTAAAACTTACTTTGCTACTTGTTAGAATTGTAAAACTTTTGTATGTTTTATTTTGGTATTAAATTAATTATAACAGTATTTGGTATTTAATCGGATGTTGTTATGTAATTTTTGTTCTTTTTTTAACGTTGTTATGTATCGGTTTTTTATAACCAAAATCGTTGATTAAAAAATAAAAAAATGAAAAATGTTATTACCAGCGACACTATTACCGGCGACGGTAGTAGTAACGACGGCTTTATCATTAGCGGCGACATGAAGCATTACCGGGGACAGGAGCATTAGCGGCGACAATACTTTTTAGTGGCGAAAATATGATCAATAGTGACATAGCAGTAGCGGCGACTTTTTACCGGCGATGTGTCGCCGCTATTGCCTTTACTGGCGATTAGCCTACTCTTTACCCGGCGACTATTGTCGCCGCTTTAGCCCGGAATTCCTGTAGTGTCACTCTGTATCATACTTAAGCTTTGGAGGTTTGTGAATTACTTAGTAGATTTGTACCTAAATGGCTATAAGGAGTAAAGGAGATGGATTTTTGTCGAATCAGAGAATATTGGTTAAAAAAATCGCTAAGAACATAATTACTAATTTTAAAGCCTAAAGCAAGTAAATTGTAAAAACTTTCAAAATTATTACATAATTAATATACATGGACATATATGTGTTTGTTGAGTGTGAATCCACGGAGATTGTTGAGTGTGAATCCACAGAAAAGTTGGTCAAAAATGGCAGGAAACCAGGAACCATGTGTGAAGCCACACTTGGTCAAAAATGGCAGGAAACCAGGAACCATGTGTGAAGCTTTTTTCAAAGGTTGGCTGAAGACCCGGTTGTGTTTTTTTGACTACTTCTGATTTCCATCTCTATATAAGAGATTCATCTCTATTTGTAAAACTTGTATGTAGAGTAACACAGAAAGAGTGCAGATTAGCACCAAGAAATATAAATTCCTAGTTACCGGTGGATTTAGGTCAGAGAAGGACCGAACCACGTTAAATCCCTCGTGTTCATCCTTGTGTTCTTGTTTTTCGTGAGCTGTGTGTGTTTAGAGTCGTGTGTTAAGTGTCTCGATCCTAACAAGTGGTATCAGAGCCTTGGTTTAGCTCCAGAGGGTGATTTTCTGTTTTTGGTCGAATTTTTTTTTCTCAAAAACGAATTTGGTGTAGACTGTTGGAAAGGTCTCGTTCCGCAGATTCCGAAAATAAGTTTTCTGAATTTTTTCGACCACCGGAAGGCTCCTAAAATCACCGGTCAAAGTTACTGTAGCGGACGGATTCACTGTAGCAGTTCGCCGGAGAAGACGACACTGTAGCACCAAACACTGTAGCAGTTCGCCGGAGAAGACGACACTGTAGCAGGCACTGTAGCACGACGTTAGCGGTGACATCAGCAGACATTGTAGCACGACGTCAGCGGTGACGTCAGCATGCACTGTAGCAACACTGTAGCAGATTTGAAAATTTGCAATTTGGCCCCTGAATTTCCAGAAAATTGCAAGATAGGTCATTGTTCTTTCAGAAAATGGCAGAAAGCAGTAAGCTTCAGATTGAGAAGTTTGTTGGGAAAGATTTTGGTTGGTGGAAGATGCAAATTGAAGATTTGCTCGTGCAGAAAGACTTGGATGCAGTTTTAGGTGAAAAACAGGAGGCGATGACACAGGCAAACTGGGAGACTTTGGATAAGAAGGCCAAGGCATTTATTAGACTGACGTTGTCAAAGGATGTTGCCTTCAACATTTTGAAGGAGACCTCGGCAAAGGGAATCATGGAGGCATTGTCTAATATGTACGAGAAGCCGTCGGAAGCAAATAAAGTCTTCCTGATTCGGGAACTAGTCAACACGAGGATGAGGGAAGGAAGTTCAGTTACAGTACACATCAACAATTTGAACTCGATTTTATCCAGACTTGGGTCAGTGGGAATAAAATTTGAGGACGAAGTTCAAGCTTTACTACTGTTATCATCATTACCTGACAGTTGGTCCGGAACAGTTACAGCCGTTACTAGTTCCGCAGGATCGAAAGAGCTCACTTTTGAGGGAATTCGGGATTTAATTCTAGGCGAAGACGTCAGACGAAGAAATTCCGGGGAATCATCAAGTGAACAATTGAATGCGGTCAGAGGTAGAAGAAATAACAGAGGTAGTGGGAGCGGGAACAGGAGAAGGAGTCAGTCGAGGACTCGAAATGATGTGACTCTTTGGAACTGTAAAGAGGCTGGACATTTCAGGAATCAATGTCCAAAAGACAAGAAAGAAGTTAACGTTGCAGTAGACCATTCAGATGATGATGTTTTGATTTGTAGTGTGGAGAGCAATGTGGATTCCTGGGTTATGGATTCGGGTGCTTCATTTGACGCTACCCACATCCGTGAAGCACTGCGGAATCTGAAAGAAGGGGATTTTGGTAAGGTAAGACTGGCGAACGACGAGGTTCTTGATGTGATGAGCATAGGTGACTTAGATCTGAAGACTCCAGTCGGTCCATGGACTTTGAAGGATGTCCGGGTAATTCCAAGTTTAAAGAAACAGTTGATTTCTGTTGGGCAGTTGGATGAACAGG